TGAAAAACATTGAAAACTACCATTTTCAGCCACTAGCGGGCCCTCAACTGATCAGAATCATAATCAGAATAAACTTTATTGGAATTGCACCGAGGTACAACGCAAATATGTACGTACAGTCGTCCGAAAGATGGGCGTAGTGCACAAAGCTGCAACTACAGGAGAGCGCGGCCATTTTATCCTTATCAGATAATAATCTTAGATAGGAAAAGGGGGGAGAAACATGAGGGTAGATAGTGGTATTACAAAAAAAAGATCTTTCACATCTTGTCTATCAGGACACAATTTGAGACATCAAAAAACTCTACCAGCAGCACAATTAAAACATGATTACATTTGCATTTGACATTGAGGTGTTGAGATTTGTCCATGAGCTTTTCTTCAGATCAGCCACAGTTTCTGAAGATGTTGTTCCAGCCAACAGTTCTGATAAGCTTGCACAGTAAGTTCTCGGGGGAGAGGATGGGGGGGGGGGGGGGTTGCGATAGATGAAGCTTTTGTCTTTGGGTACTCATGTCCCAGGAGACATTTGATAGTCAGCCTGTCTCCGAGGCCGTTGGGAGTCAGATTATATGAGCTTTATTTTTGTTTTTCTTCAGGCAGACAGATTTTTTTCTTCAGCCTTGAGTCCATCTGGGCGTCCTGGTTCAGAAAAAAGCCAATTGTGGGATTCCATTCCACTGATCCATGCTATGAGTCTCCTTCAAGGTCGAACCCACCACACTGACAAGTCCCAGAAGCCGCAGGTGGTCTGCGATTCTCAATCATCTCCACCTTACGGTTAAGCTCGTAAGCCAGACGATTTAAAGTTCCCACAGCGAGTACCAGACCTTCTCACTGACTCGGAAGCTTTTCCATGGCCAAAACTGTTGCCGCTGGCTTTTTCAAAAGTTGATAAAACAGAGCCCCGCCGATGCCAAAAAGCAGAGTCCCTGCTATCATAAGTCCAAATATGTAAATGTCTTCAACATCCTCTTGAGACAGTACTGTAATGCACATCATCTGCCACACTCCCCACGAATCCATGACATACCCCACAGCGTGAGTCTCAGCTGGACACGCAGGTTCTCCAGGACCTTGTAGCTTTGATGAAACAATCCTATCAATAGAGTTGAACGCCCACGATACCAAATCCTAATCTTCTTAATTTATGTTCGGGAGATGAGACCCAGGCGCTTCAGATATACAGAAAGCAGAGCAAGAAAAAAGGAAAAAAAATGGGGGAGGAGAAACGGAAACTGCCACCTCGATCAGAGCCTGGGAGGAAAAATATGATATATGATATGGCAAGCTATTGTTTTTAGCTGTTAGTTACTGTTTTTCTAATCTTAGTTTTAAAATACATACATTTATTTTACATTACATTTGGACATTTTGTTTTTTTTAGGTTTTATTTTTCTTTCTTTATTTTTTTTTTTACCTTTAGATGTTGGTTTTAACTTTTAACTTCTGTTTTACTGGCTTGGAATTTTGCTGTGGTCTCCCATATTTAAATCAACAATTTTGCTAATTAGCTTCCAGCAACTATTTTATCTACGTTTTTCTCTTCTGCTTTTCTTATCATTGACTATTTAGGGGCTGTTTACACGGCGCATATTTTGAGTGCATCCACAGCTTTCTCTCTGCGGTTCTGCTGATCATTTACACGACACCAGTGGCCCCCCTCTGAATCCGGAGGTTTCTGAACCCACCTTCCAGAGTGGAGGTTTTTCTCTGACCCCCCGCTGATAATGTAAACATCTCCCGCTGAGGCTTTGTGTTAAACCACATGCGCACACGCACGCGCGGACAGACGCTATATTTCTATCAACATGGCGGCGGACACACTGCTTTCAGAACCTCGACTGATGGAATATATTTTTAATCTCGTAGTTAATCTACGTCAGATTCCAGGTGCTGTGACTGACATCTGTGTTGGAAGAGACACAATCTGATCTAGTTCTAATACCGCTGTTTATAGAATGTGGCACGCGCACACGTCGCGCTGCACTATAACAACTAGATGTGCTAAATAATAACAGTTTAATAATAATAAACAGTATTTATGTTGGTGTGAAATATAATGAAGCACTGAGCTAAATGAAGCTATCTGGACATTATGTAATTCGAATTTAAAATGGTGCTAAACATATAGCGTGAACACTAAAGTTGAAAATGAAGACATCAGGTTTAATTTTTATTTATTTATTCAACACCACAAACTGTATGTCACACAAATACTGATAATTAAACTGAACACACTATTAAAACACGTTAACTGAACTTGAATGGATTGAATAAAATAAATGAGGGGAATTTTAAACAAATAGTTCATCAACATCTGTCTCTCTTCGACGTCCTCCTGCATTTCATCTGGGCCTCGTTCAGAACCGGTCCGCCTGGTGGGAGACAGCTTCTTCTTCTTTCAGGAAAAAATAAAAACTCAGTTGGTTGTTTTGTAACCGAAGTAAACACAAGCTAACATTATTAAGAACATTTGATTTACCTGCTGTAAAACAGCTACTGATTATCACGGAGTAAAGTCTGACATTGAATCGGTTCTGGTCCACTCAGCGACAGGTGTGGAGCTGTTCGACGAAGCGGTCCTGCTTGGCATCATATCTGTCGACTGTCATCCAAAATCCACCTTTAACTTGTCGTTACGTTGTTGTTAGCTTGATTAGCCCAGAGGAAAACAGCGTGCCGAGGCAGCACACATGCGCATAAGGTGAAGGTACAAAATTCACAGTGCCATCTAATGACCTGGCATGGTAACTACAGCATATTCGGGAGGGCGGAGGTTAATCCTCCGGATGCATGTAAACCCAAAATGCTACTGTGTCAACGCAAATCTTTTCCTCTAATTAACATACGAAAAACCCTATGATTCCTCCCATCGTGTCCGTGTAAATAGGGCCTTAGCCTCACCTTCAAGTTTTAAAAAAGTCAATTTGCGCTCATCATTATCACTGCATTTTAGGGGGCGTGGCAAAACAGAGGTTAGAAAAGTTGAGCATGTTATCCAGAGGTCACCGGTTCAACTCCCCATACCAACAACATAAAAATTTGGATGGGAAACGTAAAACATCCACACCTGCCTCCACCCTCATTAGCCCCACTCTGGGCTCTTGAGCAAGGCGCTTAACCACCAACATCAACTGCAGGTTTCCTAGATGGCAGCTCTCTGCTCCACACAGAGAGCAGTGGTAGCTTAGTGTACTGTGGTTGTGTCAGGAAGGGCATCTGGTGTAAAATCAATTGCCAAGCCTTCATTTGCTGTGCCGTCCCCTTGAAGAAGGGAGCAGCCGAAAGAACAAACAAAAAAAAAACAATTATTGAATTTTCTTGGAAAATGCTAGTTTTCTAGTTATACTTTATTTCAACCCTTTTACTTACTAGCATGACTTTGATTGCTATTGTATAACATTACTAATACAACTAGTCCTCAATCTATGATTGTTATGATCAAAGTTCCTATTACTGCATAGCTAAATTAAATACTATTGCAACTTCTATTTATGTTACTGAACAACGGATTTACGAGTAACAATATATTTTACTGTCACACTACTGTTTCACCAAGACAGATACAACTACTGATAACTCCTACTTTTTCTTGATACATGCTTCTGTTTTTATTGCCACCACCACTCACAGTAAATAAACCTTTACAACAGAGTCTGAATTCATACAAGAATTTGCATTATAATACAGTCTCCCGTCAGGCTCTTTGAAGCCATTTGTCTTAGTAAACACAAATAGTTCACAGTTTTTAATTAGTTTTAGTACTGCTGGGCTGGAAAGTAGGATAATGGATTCTTTAATCAGAGGAGGTGAAATATCAGACACTGACCCCATCTAAAGAGTCTAAAAAGCCGAGCTGCCAAGACATCACATATTGAACAGCTGGGAGTTCACAGGAAATGTCAAACTGGAACCCTAAAATTATGTCCGCTTGCCTGAAGAAAATTATTTGTAAAGTGTTGGGAGTGCACACTCGAATAACTTATTTTGCTTGTGAATACAATTTTGTTCTACACTAAAATGTGCTTTTGTAGAAAGAATACTCTGTAATATGTAATATTCTCAGTTGTTGATGTTTTTATAACTTGTTTTCACATATGCAGGTTATGCAACTAATAAAAAAATGAATAACATTGTATTCATAAGACTGAAGCATGAGTCTTATATTGTAACTGTCCTGTACGTTTTGATTTTAAAACCGTTATTTTATGCATGTTATCAGTTAATGTTGTTTTATTTTTTTGTTCCTGCATGAATTCAAGGATTCTGTATTGTCATTTGCATCACATGTGGTGCATGAGGTGGAACGAAATTGTGCACACAGGGTCCCAGTTACATTCAACAATAGTGAAAATATAAAGTGTAAAAAAGAAACTGTAAATAAGAATCTAAGCTATCAACTAAGATATATGCTAAACGAACACCAAATGGTACACTAAAAAATTTAAGATATATGCCAGTCACTAATAGTGCAAAACAACATCAGCAGCACAATTCTCATAGGTTCTCATAGTTCACACGCTAATGCTAGCGGAGTCAGGCTCGGAGCCCCAAAACTAACATAAACTGGAATTTATTTAAAACATGAAACAAAAATACAGAAACAAGGAGCCAAAAATGAAAAATAAATAAATCTACAGCAGCGTGGTCCTATTGGCAGAGTGGTTCTGATGGCAGTGAGGTTATCTTTGCAACATGGTCCCGTTGGCACCATGGGACTGTCAGCAGTGTGGTTTGGATACTTTCTCCCAAAAGTCTCCTATGAAAAACTTAAGATAAATGTGGCCCTTTGATAGCTAAAGGTCAACTTTTAGCATCATTTAAGCTGCATCTTGTGCTTATTAACCTTTCACTAACCTTGTCTTCTCTGTTTGTTTTTTTCACTTTTCTATACATTAATTATCTCTTGCTTACATTTTCTTGGGATTAATTTCACTGTAAATGTTTCTCCTGTGTTGAGGCTTTCATAACTTGATTTTTCCTTGCTCTCCCTGCAGCTGATGATGGATGTGGAGGGACACTGCGGGGTCAAAGTGGGTTGATCACCACCCCCAATTACCCAGCTGAGTACAACAATAATGCTGACTGCACCTGGACTGTGCTGGCGGAGCCAGGAGACACCATTGCCCTGGTTTTCTCTGACTTTCAGCTGGAGGACGACTATGACCTGCTCGAGGTCAGCGGCACTGACGGATCCTCACAGTGGTGAGTAGTCAGCCAGCAGCATTTTGTCTAGAGAGAGCTAAGTAGTGGATAGGGAAGGAAGGGCAGTCCTGCAATGCACCACTTGCACACATACACTCTATGTGAAGAGGGAATGAGCTGGGTGAAGTGTGCTTGGAAGTGGGTAGGTGTTAAATAGTTTCTGTGGATCTGGATCATGGCGGTCTCGCAGGTGTTGCAAGTAATGTCTTCAGAATTAATTTGATAGATCACATACACTTATCTGTTAGGAAGGTTAGCTTACATTGTATGTATTTTTAAGGGTGTAGCATGTGTTTGCTGGTTCTAAGAGGTAATCCGGACAATCATGGTCTTGAACTTTCACTCATGTTCTCAGTCTCACACAAACACACATGCTCGACTCTGATGATGAAGCAGCAGGATATCCTGGCGTCAGTGTGGGTCTCTCACCATCTGTGGCAGCTCCTCCTCTCTCTGACAACTCTCTCAGCTCAGGAAGTAATTAGTGAGCTCGATTACCACCACCAGCCGTATAGTGCTGTTAGAAACACACACACACAGAGTCCATATGGGCTCAAACGGACGTGTGCACGATCATTCACACTTTCAGCGACACAACCACATATTTGTCCTGGCACTCTAAGAAATTGTGCGCACAGATGTACTCTTTAACACACTTTCTGACACTTTAAATCTTCCCTCAGTTGCATCCTAATGCTAATAATGGCTTAAAAACAGAGTGGACAAATTGAGGGACTGTTGGTTGAGTTGTTTCTTATGATAATCATGACCCCCCCCCCCCCCCCCCCACACACACACACATTTAAATTAATAATTTTAAATTAGTTAGCACCTCCTGCACCTTTGCGCAGCCCTTACTGTATGAAATACTCCAAGCTGCAGCTGTTCTCCGTGCAGAGCGGATAAGTGAGCGTGGCCAAGAGCGCTTGCATGTGGCTGAGAGCAGTGGAGGCAGGGAGCTGAAGTCATGACATGCTGTGCTCTTTTAAAGCATTTAGAGTTTAGAAACATTGTTTAGAATATTGCAAGAGTGTAGGAAGGGTTTATATATATATATATGTATATATATATATAAATATATATATATATATATATATTATCTTCAACCCACTTCTGCTTCTTCCTTTCTGGGTCGCGGTGGTCACTGGTACCCATTTCCAGCAGTCACTCTGGGAGAGGCGGGGGACACCCTGGACTGGTCTCCAGTCCATCAAAGGGTCACATAAAGACAAACGAGACAAACAACCATTTACTCTCTCTCACACACCTAGGGACAATTTACAGTTACCAATCAGCCTAACATGCATGTTTTTGGTCTGTGGGAGGAAACTGGAGTACCCTGAGAAAAGCCACACATGCTGGGGTTGTGATTTTTAACAAAATAGTAGGTGTTTGTCTATCCTAGGATCTACTCATTTACCTGACATATTAGAGCAACACTTCTTGAGAAGCACTTGACATTAATGTCTATCTACACTGTAGAGCAATATTAATGTCATTTCAAATTTCCAGTGTTCCTATAATATGAATGCAAACAGTTTTCGAAGCAGCTCTTTTGTTGTTCATAAATCAAAAAATGAGGCAGGCCACATCTTTTGTGAGGTTTTAAGAATGAAGCTAGTATTGCAAAACCCATATGAGGAAGGGGTGTAACTTTGACTAATGGGGAGCACTTTGCATAATATGTATGTTGGAGAGCTCTCATTCTGAAATTCCAACACTCGGCTGGTTGCACAGACAGTCTGTCATCGCTACCTCACACACACAAACTTCGATGCCAGCTGATTATTTTACATGCAGAGTGCTACGGCGGTCTTCATACCTCACTTTGTGGTTCAGAGGTGTAACAGCAGTGAGATCATGTCAACCTTCCATGCTGCCTTGGTCCTTTCATTCATTTCACGCAGACAGATTAAAAACATTCCAGCCACAGCTTGAAAGTTTGAGAAAGGGGGTTAATGTTAAGCCAAAGAAGTTCCTATTTTACTTTCAGCCTCTCTGTGATATTTTTCCCCAAAACTAGAGTGTTATAAACTTTCTATTTTGCCTCTTATTGTCATGAATGGGTCACACATGTTTGACTTGTGTACCTAATGTGCCTGCGGTGATGTTGACTTAACTTGTTTTAGGCCCAGTGTACATGGGAATAATTTCCTGGAATAACTGTTAACTTTTCAATGTTGATTGTAAAAGAGTCCACATGGTACTGATGTGATTTAAAAAAAGCTGTTTGGACAAAACCACCAAAAATGTTGACCCCTCTACAGTTTTCATGCTAGTGTTGTGATTTTATACATATTTGTGTGGACACTTCAGTTTTGAGCATGGAAACAGTTAGAAATAAAATTCTTAATACACAACAATATATTTAGACAGACAGTGAGGTTAGGCTCTTGCTGTGTGTTGCTTTAAGATATAAATCTAAAAGGTTTCAGAACAAAATGGAGACTATGGACTGACTGCGACTGTAGTGGGCATGTGCTCATTTTCACATGTCGTCTTCCTACAAAACAATGGCAAGAGTTTTGAAAAATGTACACTCTGCATTTCAAAGGTTTCTTATCAGAGAATCTAATTTCTATTGTTGTTTGGACAAACAGTTGAAATGCAACTGAAATGTTTCAAGTTCATTTAAAAACAGTGTTGTGTTAACTGCGCTTCAGATCAAGTACAACAATCAGCTGCTGGATACGAGGATGAAGAGTCAAGTGATTCTAATCAAACCATCCATCCATTAACTTTTATGCACTTCTTCCTTTTGGGGTTTCAGGGGTCACTGGTGCCCATGTCCAGCTATCACTGTGCAAGGGACGGGGTACACCCTGAACAGGTCTCAAGTCCATCACAGGGACACATAGAGACAAACGAGACAAACAACCATTCTCTCTCTCTATTTCTCTCTCTCTCTCTCTCTCTCTCTCTCTCTCTCTCTCTCTCTCTCT